TGTTTGAACATAGTCCATAGCTGTGTCTCACACTCAAACAAATGAATTAATACATTCCTCTGCAGTTGAATCACTGTATTGACACTACAGTTTTCTTCCATTGCTGGAATATACTTGTTTCTCTCTAAAGTTGTTCATCATATGGAATTATTAAAAATAATAATAATCAGATACAAAATGCAGATACTTGTCTGGAGTATACTTGTCTCTCTCTAAGGCTTTTTATAATATGGAATTATTAAAAAAATAATCAGATACAAGTCTAATAAAAACCATTTTGACAACATAATGTGTATTAGTGAATATATTACTTAAAAGCAAATTACTTTTGAAAACTTTGAGATCTAATAAAACTAAGAAAGTGAGTCAGTAAAATACAGGCTGTATGATAGATAAAATAAACAGAAAACAATGATGAAGTAACCTCAGAGGAAATTTATACTGAACTAAACTCTGGGAGGGTGATAAGATAGATCAAAGCACTGAACCTAGAATGAATTTTTTGTATGTGTGAAAGGAAAAAAAAATAAGTATAGATTCTAGCCAAATAAAACTGTCAGCTTGAAAATATATTGCTTGCATGGTCAATCACTTGGATAGCCTTATTTTGTGATATATTAAATGTAGAAGCTATCTCTTATGGCTTTTGAAGTATGACACACAAAACATTCAATAATCTTTATTTTCATGTTATGTTCAATATAAGAGAAAACTATAATAAAATTCATCCAGAAAATACTGGCTATAGATAGGTATATGTATATGTGTGTGTGTGTGTGTGTGTGTGTGTGTGTGTATATACATATATATATATATATATATTCTTCTTTTGATAATTTTTATACATTATAAAGTCCTGTTAAACTAATTTTATTTATTGTTTGAGATTCCAGATATCTCTCTAATTGTATGTAAAATTTAGTAGCAGTAGAATTTAATTCAATCACTGGTCCAAAGTCCTATAATTTAAACCTTCATTTTACAGATAATCAATTAAGAGCACACAACTGAAATAGTAAAGTAAAATGAATCTCATTTTTTATAGTCCTTTTTGTTTCCCACGTTCTGTGTACTACGAAGGAAATATTAATGTCAGTTTTATCAGTTGATATTTATTTTAGTATTTCTTAAATGATAGGGCTTTATACTACTTTTGGAATAATAAATCCAATTTTTTTAAATTAACTGGTAGTGAAAATATTAGACACATGTTATTTTGTTTTTTAAGTATGTCTCTTAGTTTGGATAAACATTGTGAAAATAAATATCCTGAATATTTGAATTGGACAGAAGGGAAGTGAATATAAAACTTTTAAAGGAAAATATTAAATATTGTGATCCACTGAATATGTGAATTATACCTCAACAGTTTACCAGTAATGTATCAAAGGTTCATGTCTTGCTGAAATTTTGTTTTTCTCTTCATTTTTTTTTCTAATGTTTATTTTTGAGAAAGAGAGAGACAGAGTGTGAGCAGGGAAGGGGAAGAGAGAGAGGAAGACACAGAATCCAAAGCAGGCTCCAGGCTCTGAGCTGTCAGCACAGCGCCCGACATGGGGCTTAAACCCATGAGCTGTATGTGAGATCATGACCTGAGCTGAAGTCAGATGCTTAATTGACTGAGCCACCCAGGTGCCCCTGTTTTTCTCTTCATTGTATGTACTGAAATGCTTTCTGTATATAAATAGGTCTTGTAGCTCATTTTTGATAGCCACAGTCACTTTGTGGCTTTTAAAATTAATTCTTTTTGTGACTAAGAAATACTAATATCTAACCAGGAACAGAGAGATACTATTAATTACTTTTTTTTTTCTTTTGTAATTTATATATTGGTGAAACTTCAGAATAATAGCCAATAGTTACAGAGTAGCTATATGATTGGCATATATGTGATCTTGATCTGAGAATGAGAGACAAGATCACACTTAGATTTATGTTCTACAATTGCAGATGCCCATTTTCAGGTTGGATTATGAATTGTTGTAAGCAGTAGAATTTGGAATGTGTGCTTTATTGAAAGTGTCCTTAACAAATAACCTCCTCATTCCCAATGATTTTCAGTGTTGAGGGGAAACACTTTCAGTGAACCATTTGTGGTTAATGCTTTTCCGTGGGTAAGATCCCACTGAGAAGTGCTCTAGCTAACTTGCTCTGGGTTGTGTTCCAACTTAGTTTAAGGGACTTTAGGGGACACACTCCTGCTGATTCCACTGTTCTTTCCTGTCTTCCTTTTTTTGTAATCTTGACCCAAAAACTATTTTGAGTGATGTCTGATTTGGCTTCCTGTGGTTCTCAAATGTTCACTGACAAAGGATTATTGAAAGAATGTGTGACTCTCCCTTTCTTTTCTTGAATTCAGAGTTTCTGATGTTGATATTAATGTGAAAGGGTCATCCACAAAGAGACAAAGAACACTAATGTTGTAAGGCTTCTCAGGTCTTTTCCTTTATCACAGCTGGGGGGACTCCAAACCATTGGGATCAAATATCTTCTATCACCTCCTTAAAAACATCAGCATCTGTGTCATCATTGGCCTGTAGGCTGTGAGGATTATTCCTAAAGTATTCCTCTCTCTCTGTATAGTCCATCAATTGAAAGCCATAGAACCATGGGATTGTAGGACTAAAGAGCACCTTGAAGGTCAAATTGCCCAACCCCTTTCCTTTATAAATTTAAGAAATTGAAGCCTATAGTGAGTAGGTTATTTGTCCATGAGCATGGATAAAGATACAGAAATGAATGAGAAAGTAGATCTCTGTCTACAACAAGAGAACTCTACACTTCACATGCATTAGTGCTAAGGTTTCCTTAATACCTACCTTACCAAACTTTGCTCAGATACTAAGGAATTTTCTGACATCATAATTGAGTGGAAGAGATATCTTTCTTTGATGGCAAACACTTACTAAATATTTAGATTTTAGATTACAAGAAACTTAAATATGTCAAAATTATTTGTTTTTCTAAACATGTCATAATCCCAATCTAGTTTTCATATCAAGCATAAAATGATACTGGCTTTTATCCAAAATGATTGTGGCTTTTATTCAAAAGAACAAGAAGTCTTTGGTGAAAATAAAGTACAGCACTAATATATAACTGTGCGGATAGTGAAATGGACTCTTAATGAAGGATATCTACTACAATTGGATTCATAACCAATACAGTTTATCAAATAAGTTTATAATGAAAAATTACCTTCAGGACTGCTAAGAAAAAAAAGATCTTCAATTGCATATTTCTTGAAGGTATAGGTTAACTTGAAAGCTAAGTGACTCAGCATGAGTCATACAAGTAATACCTTTGTTAAATTAAACTTCAGTGAGGACTTCAATGTTATTCTTGTAAAAGTAACTCAAATTTTTCCCCCTGGAGTAATACCACATTTCAGTTGAAGAGAGATCAGAAGTAAAGGAAGAATGTGCTTTATTTGTGAAATGAGTCAAACATGTCTATTACAAAGAAGAGGCAAAGTTAAGAATCTTCTTTTTATTTTGAGATAGAGTAGAAAAGATTCAGAGAACCAAAGAGAAAGACTGGCCCATAAACTGTTTCCCTCCATATATTTTAAGGGGTGAAAAAGGCCTTTAGAGATACCTAGTCCAAACTTCCCCCAAATGAAGATGGAAGGAACATTCAATCTGAAGTAGCTTCAATATTTTTCATTCAGATAAATCTACTTCTTTATTATAAATAGCCTTCTCAATTCTTAGCTAGGATTTTGTATCTTCTTCCACAGACTAAGTGAAAATCTGCATCCATGTATCTACTTCAAACATATACCATGCCTTTTTCTATTAATTTTAGGTTAAATTTTCTAAAGAATATTTTCAGCATTAAACTCAACTTCCATTTATTTACTGTATTGAATAAAATTGGTAATATTCAATATTTACAGCCAAAAAGATATTTTTCATCATTACTCAACATATACATCTGTATCCCCACTTTTACTTATTTCCTCTTTATTTCTAAAGCTCTATGATTTTTAGAGTTTTATAAGACTAGATTCTTAAAATAGAAGCAGGTGGAAATAACATGTTCATATATAAGCGAATCATGTCGTTATTTTAATTGATATACTCATAGTGGAAAGAACATTTTCATTGCTGGCCTTGGCTGATATGAATAATCCTGGAGAAAAGAATTATATATCCTGGAGAATTATATATATTATATTTTTTGAGAACTACAGAATTATTGCATGCCATCATTTTTTTTAAATTTTGTATTGAAAAATGTTTGGTCTTATGTGTTTGATTTTCACATTACCTTACTATGTAATAATTAAGTATTCTGAATGCTTAAAAATTTATATTGTTTCAAAAGTGGCTCTAAATGATACAGTGCAAGAGCAGTTTACTGAATATTCAAGGGCATGTGGATTTTTATGGAATTTCATGTTGAATCTTTGAAATGTGTATGAAGAGGCAGAAAGTCATATGGATGATATTCATGCTTTCATCTGATTGGAACCTTTCTGTGAAGATCAATGGCTGGTTCAAGTCCCCAAGCTTTTCTTCCCATCACTGCCACTTTTTGAAATTAGAGAAGGTCAGACATTTGAATATTAACAGCTGGGTATTGGGAGCAAGAATGCATACAAATTTTTTTGAAATCAGAAGCAATGTTCTCAAGTAAATTAGCCCAAGTGCATATCAGCCTATGAGCCTTTTCTTAGCCAGGTAGAAGAAAACTACTCTAACTCTAAAATCCATTAGCCATTATGACTCTGGAAATTCAGACTGCATAATAATCCCCGGAAACTTGTTTAAAAAGCAAAAACTCTCACCTTTTAAGGGCTATCTTGGGTATGAGACCTATGTGGTAGTCGAAGTTTTAATGTTCTCCTTCACCATCTTGAAATTCTCAATAATTTTATCTTTGAACAATTTTTTTATTCCAATGTAGTTAACTTACAGTGTTTTACATTACTTTCAGGCGTGCCATACAGTGATTCAACAATTCCATATATTATTCAGTGTTTCTCAAGATAACTGTAGACTTAATTCCCTACCCACCTCCCATCTGTTTGTTCTCTATAGGTAAGAATATTTTTATCGTTTGTGTCTTGTCTTTTCCTTTATTCATTTGTTCTGTTTCTTAAATTTAATATATGAGTGAAAACATACAGCATTTGTCATATTGTGTGGCTTATTTTGCTTAGTATTATAGTCTCTACCTCCATCTATGTTGTTGTAAATAGCAAGATTTCAGTCTTTCTTATGGCTGAATAATATTCCATTATACTTACATACCACTTCCTCTTATCAGTGGACGCTTTAGCTGCTTCCATATCTTGGCTATTCTAAACAATGCTACAATAATCCTGGTACATACATCCCTTCAAATTAGTGTTTTCATATTCTTTGAGTAAATACCAGTATTGTGATTATTGGATTTTAGGGTAGTTCTATTTCTAATTTTTTGAGGAACCTCCATACTGTCTTCCACAGTGACTGCACAAGTTTGCGTTCCCACCAGCATGTTAATTACTTCATTGTATTGGCCAACCATTTATGATGAAAGTGATGACATAAAAAGGAAAAGGAGATAAGACAGACCACAGTTTCTTTCCTTTCAGTCCTTTCTTACTCATTACTAAGCCTGAGGTGGGAAGTGTTGGTAGAATATGTGCATATCAGGAAATGAAATATCAGCTGAGCTAGTTTTGTGGAACATTTCATTTTTATGTAAGAATAAAATACATAAGTATGTATAGACTAAACTTATGAATTGTGTAAATTCAGTAACTCTGTGTACATGTAAAGTGTTTATTTATTGAGAAAGAGAGAGGATGAGAGAGGGCAGAGAGAAAGAATCCCAAGTAGGCTCTGTACCATCAGTGCCTAGTGTGGTGCTAGAACTCACAAACTGTGAGATCATGACCTGAGCTGTAATCAGGAGTCAGATGCTTAGCTGACTGAGCCACTCAGATGACCGTTAAATGTTCTTAATATTTGCATTTTAAACCAACATTACACAGTATGAAAATAAACATAAAATTCATGCTAATACTTTAAAATTGTATTTTTTCTTTATTTAGAACAACATTAAATAGCAAACAACAAACATTATGACAAGGTGAAAAAGAAGGCCTACAGCACAAAGGAAAAGTCTATATTTTACAAATTAATGACATCTTTCCTTCTTTTTAAACAAAGGCACCCACATTTTCATTCTGTACTAGGCACTGAAAATTACCTTGTTTAAACAGGTCTGGTGTGCGACTGAACATCTGCATCTTTAATGAGCTGTGACAGAGGTAGTGCAGAGTAAACCCTGTCACTATAGCACCCATTTGATTCTTGTGAAATATATCTTTGTCCTATTATCTGTGGTTACATCGATATAGTTCTGGTCATATAAAAAGTATTGCAAAGGTCCATCAAGGTAAGACGTATGAAATACTTTAGGTATCTTATGGTATTTAGCTGAGTATCTTCCATCTGGTATCTTCTTACAAATATTTGCTTATAATAAAATTATAAAGGGCCACCTGACAATAGTCTAACCAAGCAGTGGAAAATAAAACAATTTTAACAAGATTAAATTTAGAAAAAAACTTTGGTCCATTGTGACTGTCACAACCTATATTTATGTAGTATCTATGAAAGTTACAGCGCTAAAACTGAAGTCATTCCCATCTAAAAATTGTACAAACAGAATATCCCAATTATTCATAATTAAACTACTGAATGCATAGATGATAGATAGGGATAGATTCCTGTTTAAAACAAAATTTTCTGGAAGAATTTTAGTAGCACAAATAGTTTTTTCATTGAAATGTTACACATGTAGGGGCGCCTGGGTGGCTTAGTCGGTTGAGCGTCCGACTTTCGCTTAGGTCATGATCTCGCGGTTCGTGGGTTTGAGTCCCGCGTCGGGCCATGTGCTGACTGCCAGCTCAGAGCCTGGAGCCTATTTCAGTCTGTGACTCCCTCTCTCTCTGACCCTCCCCTGCTCACGCTGTCTCTCTCTCTCTCCTAGAAATAAATAAAACATTTAAAAAAAAATTAAAAAAAAATGTTACACATGTAAACTCACTATATTAAATTATTGTCAGAACTGTTCTCTTAAAAGAAAGACAAGAATTGAGCTCCACCCACCAGAATTCAGCCTGCCTTCCTCTCTATATATAGAGAGGGTACTGTAGGGCACAATTTGACAAGATCAAAGTGTTGAGCTTCCAAATAATGTAATCTTTAGATGGTCAACCCCACCTCCCACCAACCACCAAACCTTCTTTAAAAGACTTAAAATACACTCATTACCTTTCAATTTAAGTTAAATTAAATTATATTAACATTTACTTTTAAATTAAACCAGAATGCCTTGGAAATACTGTGGGAAAAATTCTGACCATTGCTAGGATAGTATGATGTTAAAGAGTTTTTAACAGGACCTCTAATTTTTAGAAAATGACTTTTTAAATAAACTTGAAACAGTGATGACCTGAGTCACCTGTGTGAATAAATTTTATAAGTACACAAAACAAGAGGTTTATTTAGTTTGGAGTTTTGCCAACTAATCTTTATAGATTGAAATCCCTAAGGACACATTGTTACAAATGGGAATGTATGAAGTTATTCATAAATTCAGCAGCCCTACTTAAAAATGTCTGGGAAAGTGTTTTATACAGGAATGCTCCATAGGGTATAATCATTGTATACTTATTGAAGATTGCATATGAGCTTCAGTCCTGAGGAAAGATGATCTGAGTAATAGCAGATTGATGGATATAAATGGCTCGAGAACTTCTCGTATTCCAGGCCAATTATCTGTGAACTAAGGAAGACTTCAACAGTAGTCATAATAACTGATTTGGAGCTGTTAGAGTCATTTAGGTTAAAACCTGTTTAAATATTGGCCTACATATGGTAAATCAAGGCAGATGAAAGCAAATTTGACCCTATAGGCATGTTTCAGTTAATAGCCCCAAACCACAGACCTTAATCAGTTTCTACAGTTCTGAGAAAACTGTACTGTTTTATTTGAGACTATATTCATGGAAACATGGAGCAAAAGTACCCTACCTTTTATAAATTTTAAATTTCATACATTTCTTTTCTTGAACCAAGACTGCAGTTTCTTTTTTTTTTTTTTTTAATATTTTTTATTTATTTCTAGGAGAGAGAGAGAGAGACAGCGTGAGCAGGGGAGGGTCAGAGAGAGAGGGAGTCACAGACTGAAACAGGCTCCAGGCTCTGAGCTGGCAGTCGGCACAGAGCCCGACGCGGGGCTCGAACCCACCAACTGCGAGATCATGACCTAAGCGAAAGTCGGACGCCCAACCGACTAAGCCACCCAGGTGCCCCGCAAGACTGCAGTTTCTATGGTTATACTTTGATCAGTATAATCAACTAGTTCTAAAGTTATAATGTGATTTTGTGAAGTTACCTGACATCTTCCGACAGTAGTTTCTTCCATATGTAGTGTATGACTAAATTACACCATAGAGGGTTTTTGAGTAATGGTTCATGCAAAGGAGCATTTCCAATATATCCTGCTCCATAGTAATAACAAGCATCAGAGCTTATATTTAAGAAATTGTCATTAGGAGAAGTTTCACATTCTGATAATTTAATTTTTAAGTTTTCTTACTGTATATCAACCCAGATTTTGGAAAAAGTATATATTTGAAATTTACTGCATCTCTTATACATACACCCATTATGTGTGCTAAAATTCTAGTAAGGATTTTAGAACCAATTTGTTTAAAAAGCTTGGCATAGCATTTTGTGAAGAGGATGGAAGATAAAGTTCATGGGGGGGAAAATTGGTCATGAATATCTGAGATGATCTGAAGTAATAAAAACTTTGACGAATCCATTATTGTGTTCCCCGTCCTGTGAAGGAGATCTGGATAGTCATATAGACTGTTGTCTTATACCCACAATTCCATTACTATTGAAAACGTTGAGTACTGACCTTATCAACAGTGGATGTACACTTTTTTTTTTTTTGCTTAATAGGAATTAGCTATTTAGGCTGTGATATTCAGGACTATTTCGGAAAAAATAAGATTTCACCAGTTCTTATTGTTCATTCTCTTACTTCCTTGTAGGTCACTACCTTGCATTCATTGCATACAGTCATGAGTATATGAGCTTACATGTTGTTCACAAGTGCCTGCCTACTTACATGACTATGCAGGACTTCTGGCTCAAACACTGCATTAAAGGAAAACTATGATATTAAAAGCACTTTCACTTCTATCCTTTTTTTTTTCTAATGTTTTTTATTTATTTCTAGGAGACGGAGAGAGAGAGAGACAGCGTGAGCAGGGGAGGGTCAGAGAGAGAGGGAGTCACAGACTGAAACAGGCTCCAGGCTCTGAGCTGGCAGTCAGCACAGAGCCCGACGCGGGGCTCGAACCCACGAACCGCGAGATCATGACCTAAGCGAAAGTCGGACGCTTAACCGACTAAGCCACTCAGGTGCCCCCACTTCTATCCTTTTAAGAAAGGTCTGTGATGACTGTCAAAATAAAGTAATAGTTAAAATGATCTAACTATAGCTCAATTTTATATGTTCCCCTTGCACAAAGAATATCCCCAACAACGTTCTCTTATTGTTTTTAAAGTTAGCAAAGATTTCTGATATAAGAAATGTTCTACACACTTCCAGTACCTCATCTTAACCTCTGCCTTTCTCTTTGCCTTCTATCACATATCCATTCAATCATTGTAAAAGCCACTTTTGATCAAAGATGGACTCTTTCAAAAATTCATATTTTATTCTTTCAATTTTTGTTGTGCCCTTTTTATTTCACTTTATGAAACAAAGGAATGAGAGAGAAAATCTTAAAGAGATACTGTTCACTGTTGACTGCTGTACAGATATATTCAGCAAATACAAATCTAGAAATACCTTTTATACAATAAAGAGACATACTGCTTTGAGTAAAAATGACATGCAAAATTTTTCTTATAAAATGAAACAGCTTGACAGCATTCAGTTTTCTCCCCCCTTTCATGACACTGATAATTTTTCCTGGCACCATTTGCCTCTACTACGTGTATGTTTACTCCATAACTATCTACAGCAAAGGAATATGGGTAGTAATATTGCAGATACATGAAGTACAAGACATTCTCACTTGCCCTTTCCCTGTTCTGCTGGCACTTGCTGACAGTTGTAAAAACTTGTTGTTGTCATAAGCAGAGACAACTGCAAAGGCACAAAGGGAACAGATGTATGCTATAATAATAACAAGGTGTCACTTAAAAAAATACTTTTCAGCTTAGGGCTACATTTAAACCTTCAGGTACAGTTCATGAAACTCATAATGTGGGAGAGTAAGTACTGCTGGTGTCTTTGAGAGTCTCTGGGGGACAAGACTCTGAGATATTGTTATCATTATCACCATCTTGCTAACTGAATCACAGTTAGCGCCTTGGTTATTATACCTAAGGGAGTGACTTACTACCCTCTAGGTTGAAATAAAGGGCAAAATGAGATTCTTCCATTGTTGGCGAGTGGAAAACATTCAGGACACACAAAGGAAAAGGCATCCTATTCAATCTCAATCTTTTAAAAATAGAGAACTAAATTATTCTGAATACGCAATCCTCAGTTTGGCCATATAAAATAATTGAGCATAGATTTCAACTAAATGGAATGCAGATGGAAAGCTTTGTACAGTCAGATGTAGTCTTCCTTCTGAAATATATGCATGTCTATTTTCATAGAATTGCAAAAACAAAACAGGCAAGATTTCATACAAAAGCAGAGTTGCACTTGAAAATAGAAGGATGTTAATATGCCACAGACTGCACATTTTTAATCTCAGTTAACTTGTAAAATTTTAAGATGCTGTTGAAGTAATTCAGTCAAATAAAGTAAAGGTAATATTGATGAAAACCACTTTCACTTTCATTGATTCATAAATATTGGAGTGTAAATGTGTAAACTTCTTTTCAAACCCTATAGATAGAAATGAATGTTCTAACTTTAAATATCTGGAAAGGAAATATAAATTGTATGTTATACTTGAACATGAAATATAAAATGGTACTCTGTTTTGATGATGAAAAGTTGACAGTGGGGCTCCTGGGTGGCTCAGTCGCTTAAGCGTCTGACTTTAGCTTAGTTCAGGATCTCACCATTTGTGGGTTCAAGCCCCGCGTTGTCTCTGTGCTGACAGCCAGCTTAGACCCTGGAGGCTGTTTCAGATTCTGTGTCTCCCTCTCTCTCTGACCCTCCTCAGCTCATGCTCACTCGCTCGCTCTGTCTCTCTCATTCTCTCTCTTTCTCAGAAATAAATAAAACATTAAAAATTTTTAAAAAAGAAAAAGTTGACAATGCCCTATTTTTCTCAGGAATTGTATTTTTTACTCCTTCCCGATGTGCCTAATTTTATTTTTTCTATTGTTTCCTATTGTGACCCCGATTTATTTTAAAAGGAATTAAGTGCCTTGTCTATTTGCAATAGCTTAATGTGGAATAGGCAGATGAAACCAATGACTTCTCCAAGTCACTTCTGGCCTTGTGATTCTCTCTTTATTTGCTAAATTGCCACATTCTGAGAAATGGTTAAAAGATGAAAATGCTACCAGAGCAGTTTTCTGAATTACTTTCCAAGTAAATCCTAATGATTAGGACTTTTAAAACACTTGAAATATGTTTACATATAATTAAACTGGATATATTGTAGGAACGAGTAGAGGGTACTAGGATTAGTGCTTTTGATGGGAGTAGGTGACCATTCGACTTTAAGTGTGAACCATGGAAATAAAAGCAACTGTGGCTGATCTTTTACTCAGCACTAGAGGCAATAATCAAGTTCTTCAAATCAATCACACCATCGAAGAGTGATGGCAGGGAGCAGATGCTTTATCAGCAAAACTACGTATTTTGTATCAGTTTGTCTTTTTGTATTTTTAGACATAAATCTTTAATGTGGAGTTTGTGTTCAGACAGCATTCTCTCCTCCCTACAGGTGTTGACAATACAATAGGATTTGTGGATTTTGGACACCTGAGGGAAAAGTTGTCGTATGAGTAAAAACTGATATTATTATAAGACATACTTTAATAACTGTATCTCTTCATTTCAAAGTAACAGTATTTGGACAGACAATTTAGGAGAAAAATATCTCAATTTTAAGTATATTATTATATATTATACTTATAATATATTTATATTTATATATTTAAATATATATTTATTTTATATATTTATATATAAATATAAATATATTTAAAATGTAAATATAATTATATTTTATAGCAGATATGGATACTAACATAGCCAAGAATGTTGATCAATTTTATAATATAAACATATTGTATAAATAAATACTTTGTATATTAACATAGATATTATTAGCAAGCAATTTTATAGCTCCTTGAATCAAATAAAAAATACTATATTTCAACTCTTTAGAAACAGCACTTTTTGCTTTTGATTTTCTCACTAAATGTTCATATTTTTTGAAAGTTGTCAACATAATATCAAAATGTTTAAATAATATATTTCCTAACATTAATTTAGACAAATATTGTTACTGTATTTTGCTTAATACTGCCTAAATATAAACTTCTGAATAATACAGAGAAAGGATAAAAGAAGCATGAGAATTATCGATTGCATTAGCTGTCAATGATTATGTCCACGGGAAATAGAAAACTTAATACAAGTTGGAGCACAGAATATCTCTATTTTCTCATGTCTAACTTATTTCAAACTGATACGTAATATGATGCCAAACCTTGTGTAGTAAACTATAGTTGAATTGCTAGTGAAAAGGAGCATGGTTGATGGACTTTATTGTATAAAATAAAATTTTTAAAAAAATTGCTCTTATACTCACTTAACTTTAAAGCCAATACAGTGGCACCTGGAGGCCTCAGTCGGTTAAGCGTCTGAATTCGGCTCAGGTCATGATCTTGTGGTTTATGAGTTCAAGCCCCTCATCAGGTTCTGTGCTGTCAGCTTGGAGCCAGGAGCCTGCTTCTGATTCTGCATCTCTCTCTCTCTGCCCTTTCCCTGCTCATTCTCTCTCTATCTCTCAAAAATAAATAAACATTCATTTTTTAAAGCCAATTCAAAATAGTAAATACTAAAAGACTTCAAATATTACTTAATGCATGTCTCTGGTTAATAATTTTACATTTAGCTTAAGCTTGATGCAAGTTATGTTCCCCTTGAGTCCTCAAGTATATAGCATGGAGGATCACTTACATTTAAAAAAGTGACAGATTAAAATAATCATGTAAGTTTGATAAATTTATATTATGTTAAAGTCAAGGGCCATCTAATTGAATATAAATCTACTGACCCTTGTCAGATTCACCACACCCAGTAAAAAGTGTTAATATGTAATATTTTTTATCATTTGCTTAAAAATTTTAGTAGTAAATGTATATGTATTGTATGTTTTCAAATTTTACCACTTGAAATGTCTATACACTTATAAAATATATTGTTTTTCTAATGTTTATTTTTATGTTATTTTCTTTGATTCCACTATTTTGTGCTGCCGTGCAGGTTTTATAATGTTGAAAGCCTAATCCATGCTTCATCTTCTGCACTGTATCTGGAAGAGTTATATTGGGTAATTTGTGTACACTTATTCTTCTGACGCCATATAGTTGCTTGCGAAAATTATACATTTAATGTCTGTTTGAACCATTAAGTTTTGTGAATGCTATCTTGTGGAAAGTCACTATTATAAGTAGATACTAGCCTATCATTTACATCCCTGGATGGAAGATATAATTATGAGAATTTTCCAATGGATGGCCTAAATAAAAAGTTTGATTATTTTTGTTTGAAGGAAATACAAAGGAATTTGCATTCCCAAGTGATAGATATCACTGATGTATAAAATTATGTCTTGCCTTTGCTTTATGTGAGATCTTATTTTGCTCTCAAAAGAAAAGCAATTTTCAAAACTAAAGTAAAAAATATATATCTACATTAATAGATATGTGTTATGATTAGTAGACCATTCACAAACCAATGACTTTATTTCCCAGTGCCCAGCAATAAAAAAAGGCAACAAAGTGTATGCTGATGATTTCAATAACCTTGTATTCAAAAGGCTAGAAGCTTGAAAACCAGAATCTAACATAATTCTGCACATAATAACAAGAGACATTATACATTTATCTTTAGTTCAAACGTAATGTTAATGCTCTTTGTTTTGAACATATATACTATATGTACTATGTACTATATTTCATAATATAGTCAGATGACTAAATTGTCAGATATCAATTAGCAGTTTCCTCTTTCTTAATTTTATTTATTTTAAGAGAGAGAAAGAAAGAGCAGGGGAGGCACAGAGAGAAAGGAAAAGACAGAAACTCAAGCAGGCTTCATGCTGTCAGCACAGAGCCTGACACCGGGTTAGATCTCACAAACCATGAAATCAGACTTTAGCTGATGCCAAGAGTTGGTCCAACAGTCTGAACTACCCAGGTGCCCCAGGAGTGTCCTCTGAAATAGAAAATTCAGGTTTACTGAATTTAAACTTTGAGCTACATTTTTCTTAGATGACTTCATAAATGTTTAAGTTGAAAAGCTCTATATACAGACACTGTGCTGGTGAGCCAAAAACTAAGTGTAATACCTAGAATATGTTTGAATTTTTGTTGTAGGTAGAGGGACAGTAGCTTCCTAGAGCAGTATTTCCTGTAATTTAATCACTTGGGCCATGTCTCTGCAGAATTTTGGTTAAGTATTCACACACATACACACACACACACACACATACATGCATACACATATGCAAATACAGTTTTATAGTTAAATACATTGGGAAGCTCTTGGTTGAAAAAGGCAAATTCATCTCTTTATGGCAAGCATTCTAAGATACTGTAACCATAATAATTCAAACTGTCTGAATCCAGGATATGCATATGTTAGATAAGGTATTCCCAAAGGACATGAAAGCATTTTTTATGGAATATCACACAAGAATATCATTCTCTGAAATTCTTTAATAATCTATTTTTTTATTGTTACTAAGTCCAACTGTCCTTGGAAATTACATCTTACTTAAACATACATTAACATATCTTTGCTAATTTACCTGGACCAGAGACATCACTTCCAAACTGAAGATAGAAATAAATTTACTAGGGATATTATATAATCCTCAGGTATGAAAAAAAATTGTTAGTTTTCATGTTAGACTTAGTCTAGCAGCCTAGTCTTTCTTTCCTTAACTAAGGGCTAAAGAATTGAAATTTATTGTTCTCCAAGTCTGTCTGCAGCCATACTCTAGAACTTATCCAGCACTTGCCATAACACTTAAAATAGAATCTAATTTTAGATGGAGATATAATGTATTATGCTAAGCAAAATAAGTCAATCAGAGAAAGACAAAGACCATATGATTTCACTCATATGTGGAATTTAAGAAACAAAAAAGATGAACATATAGAGAAAGAGAAGAGGGAAACAAACTGAGAAACTCTTAATGATAGAAAACAAAGTATGATGGAGGGAGGTGGGTGTGAGATGGCCTAGATGTGTGATGGGTGCTAAGGTCACTTGCCATGATGAGCACTGGGTATTGTATGTAAATGATGAATCACGAAGTTCTGCTCCTGGAACCAGTATTGACTTGTATGTTAACTAACTAAAATTTAAATTAAGAAAAAGAATCTAATTTCTTTACTAATGTCTATAAATCCAACTAATGCCTATAAAATCCAATGAAGTCTATCTCCTAGAAACAGATTTATTACTATTGTCACCTTTTCTTAGTGTGCATCAGGTACCCTGGTTTTCTTACCCCAAAACACACTGTGAACTTCCAGATTTCAGAGTTTTGTGCCTTCTTTTCTCTGTGCTATAATGCTCTTTCTTCAGAAATCCAGATTGCTTACCCCTCATCTATTGAGTTTTGATTCAGTGTCAGTTCCTTAGACTTTATCTTACTATCTAAATAGAAGGTCATCCCGCTTCAGTCTTACACTGCTTTCATTTTTCTTCATAGAACATATTAGTCGCAAATATTTTCTTGTTTGTTGTTTTTACTGAATGAATAAAAAATGGTTTATGTAATTAAATGTGTGTGTATTTACCTGAAATGTCAAATATGAAAAACATTTAATAACAAAACTCTATTAAGCTTTTAGTTTAATTGGGAAGGCTCATAGGTTTTCTGTTGTTTCACTTCACATTCTAATGAGTATCACAGTTAAGTGTTGCTTTAATTAAAAAGCATTTTTAATATATGTAACCAAAGTAGTTTGCCCTGACAGCTTCTTCTGACAGGTTAGTAATTTCAAATGCATTCATCTAAAATGTAAATCAGCATTACATTTAATGAAATCGAAAGGTTATTGGGCTTGAAAAGCTCAAAATAAATGAAAGTATTTCTGAGTACTAAGAGAATAAGGACTCTTAAGAAGGAAATGTATGTTTTTTCCTGATATCAGTGTTTTCAACTGAAGTGCAATTCTTCCTCTATCTCACCTTGGGGGAATCAAAAATGAGAACTCAACAGGAAGGAAAAGTGTGATAGTGTAGGTTGTTTGCTCTTGAAAACTTATTAAATTCTGAGAGAAAACAAGATTCAAAATAATTGAAATACTCATTTTCAATTTGCCTGTTTCTACTAGTAGATGTTACTGTTGACAAAGTAAAATGTGAAATTAAGAAATAGTATGATGTGCTTCTAAAATGTACCTTTTACCTGTAAATTACTAATTCTTTTATATTGGAAATCTCCCCCACCCCACCCTACCCCCTCTCACACACAGATGTGTGTTTAGCAAATATAATGTATATACAAAAACAGTTCCCTGAATTTCAAAAAAAAATGTACCATGGACAGAATTACAAATAAATTTCACGATCAGGGAGCATAGTTTTTGAAAACCTTTGATCCAAGGAACAAGATTATATTTCAGATTTAGTGAAGAGCCTGCTGTTGCTAACCTCAGTGAGTAACTGAGTAGTATCGTGTATTTGACATGATTACAGATCACTGTTGTGTTAAACATCAAATGGGGATAATCTTCCCTTTGATTTTGTGTGTGTTTGTGTGTCTTCTCCCTGAGAATAACTGTGTTCATCTATTGCTGCTTCTGTTTCTAACTGAAACACTGATAATTCTTAGGTGAGAATGATTGGTTTTACTTTTTCCTATTGATCAAGACAGTCCCCAGTTCATTTAACAAATACTATAACTTCAGTTCTGACACAGAATAGCTAAAAGTCCTTTTGTTAATCTTCTTCATCTTACTGCAATTCTACTAGATTTGTTTTTCTACCCCAATGTAGCTAATAGCTTTACAAAACAAGGCAAAACAAAAGCACACCTTTTTATGCACCATAACTTTTGAATACTGACAAAATTTATTTTGCTTTCTCAAGATAAATATATGGGAAAAGCTGTTCTCAAGTAGAGTGTTGCTTCTATCTCTGAAAATGACTAATTCAATATGGCAAAAATTATGAATTAAGCACCAAAGTAAATTACCTTTGTTTAAAATGCTTCAAAGAAATTGTTAGAATGAGTGAAATTAGGAATAGAAATACTAGATATGATACTTGGTCATATATAGTAATAGTTTATTTGTTAAAATGCCATTATTACATCTTCTCTAAGATGAGAACTTATAAGGTATACATCTAAGCTAACTGGTAAAGATTTATTTTATTTAATAGAAAAACTCATATAGTAACGTTAACTTTCTTTATCTTATCCAAATAGTTGCATGATTCCCTAATACATTCTTCTCAAGTACACGTAAAAGAACAGTGTTGCTTTAGTTTGTATACAGGCATTAGTGTCACCTCAGGGTGTCTTAGGTCTTACAGGCATGGCTTGTCTCTCAATATTAATAACCCAACAATTGTATCAGTGTATCCTTGAGTTTTCCTTTCACTTGTAAATATACAGAAAACCACTTTTTCTGATTGAACTAAAGAAACTCATAAGAGATTGCTCTAAAACAGCATATGCTAATCAATTATTTAAATGCATCTTTCTTATTCTATATATTCTTTTTGAGGAAATAAATATTAGACCTTCTTATTTTATCCTCCATGTCTGAGTTCTTTATTTTTAGTTCTTGACTACTCTATATTGTATCCTGATTAATTTCTTTAGCTAGTTCTCCATGTCATTAAATGTCTTATCTTTAGTTTTGTCTAAAACACTATTTAACATTTCTACCACTCCATCCTAATAAAGCTATCTGTTAACCCGTTTTAAAATGTATCACTTCCTTTTCCCATGTAAATAAACAAGCAATATAAATTTTTACAAATAATTATAAATTATGATATATAAGTATTATATGATTATTCTAACATTTTTTAATGTTTATTTTTGAGAGAGAGAAGAAAGAGAGAGAGAAACTAGGGAGGGGCAGAGAGAGAGGTAGACACAGAATCTAAAACAGGCACCAGCCTCTGAAATATCAGCTTGATATGAGGCTCAAACTCGGGAACAATGAGATCATGACCTGAGCTAAAGTCAGACGCCTAACTGACTGAGCCATCAGGCACCCCTATTATATAATTATTCTAAACAATTATAAATCATATTGCTGGTTCACAGTATGTACAAATGATATTGGCCAGTAAATGTCTGTCATGCTCACATTGATTGGATTTGCCATCGAGGATGGGAAAATTTTCCCTCATTTGGAAGACTTGAAAGCCGTATTTCTTGAGTATGTACTCAAATACTTTTATAAGGATATGGTTGCTTGAATTTTCACCAAGTGAACAAATCCAAATAGCCACCACCTAAGAAATGGAATATTCCCAATATCTAGAACCCCCTGGGACCCCATTCCTAGATTTTACTATTCCTCTTGCTCAAGGATAATGACTACTGTGACCTAAAACAGCATAGATAAATTGTGGCTGGGTTTTTGTTTGGTTTGGTTTCGTTTGGTTTTTGTTGTTGTTGTTGTTTAAGTTCACAGGAATTAACTCTTAAGTATCTGGTGTTTTTTACTAAACACTAGGTTTGCAGAAGTCATCATTTGTTTTTTTAGTTTATTTATTTATTTTGAGGGAGAGAGCACAAATGGGAGAGGTGCGGAGAGAAGGAGAGACAGAGTCCCAAGCAGTCTCCACACCATCAGTACAGAGCCCAATGTGGGACTCAATCTTATGACCTGAGCTGAGATCAAGAGTCAGATGCTTAACCAAATGCTCCACACAATTACCCCGTTATCCTTGTTGATTTTAACAGGAGTTTATTTTCATGATTCAGTGTTTCCTATGAATATGCCACAATTTTCTCTTCCACTTAGATAGACATTTGGATTTTTATTTTTTCTGACAAATATGTATAATGCTACTATAAGTAACCTTGTACATGCCTCAGTGTGAACATACTTTTCTATTGGATGTATATAGGGGAGGAATTATGGGATCGTAGAATCTGCCAAACAATTGTCCAAAGTTGTTTGAACCAATCTAAAATCCAGTAGATAGACCCTAAGTACTAATTCAACATATTTAATGTTAAATATTCTACTCATATTACATTTCTTCTTTTTAAAAATAAATAAAAAGCTTGGAGACTACCTTTTTGTCCCAGTTTTCAAACTATTAGCACAAAGATTTTCCCTATTTTACATTTCTCTGTTTATTCTTCCTTTTTTGCCTTAATCCCTTATTCCTGAAGCCTACTAATTTTATTAGTCTTTTAAAGTAACCAGCATTTGGTTTTGTTTATTTTATTTTAATTTGGGGTCCTGTTTCATGTGTTCTCATATTTTTAAATTGTTTTTCCTTTCTACTTTCTTTAATTTGAAACTATTATTGTCTTGACTTCTTTTCTGAATACTTTTTTAAATTGACTT